ACGAAATTCCCTCTAACAAGGGGATGAAGTCACAACTAGCATTTTAGGGCTAGGAAATTCTGTCCATGTGCAAATAACTCCTGGTGTAACCTTGTAACCCTAATTTTTATGTAAGTTAAATGTTAATCTTATACAATTTCACTCAGTCCAAAATGACAATTCAGGTCGAAATTTCCTTGTGTAAACTCTAAACTTAACCTATTAAGCTGTATTCACTCAACTTTAGGTTTTAACCCTGATTTCTCGATTTAAACCTCTTAATGGGCTAGGACACTCTTATTGGGCCTAATAGGCCTGAAAGCACTCACTTTGGTTCTTTTGGGCCAAGAACCCACATTTGCACCCTAGTTGGGCCGAAATTGATTATTTAACACTAATTTGGGCCATAAGTCACTTAGTGGAGCTTATTGGGTTGTGAACACCTTCTAAGGTCCTTATGGGCCTCAAGTCACTATGGGAGCTCTTATTGGGCCTTCCAAGGCCGAAAAATACTAATGGGCCCTATTGGGCCGAAAACTCATACATATAGCCTTCATGAACCGAAAATCATCTATCTTGGGCTCTTAAACCGAAAACTCTATTGGGTCTTCAACGTATTCGGCTACATTTCAAAACCCAAGCCGAAAAACTATTCTTTCTTTCCTCCATCTCTTATTCTCAGTTTCTAATAAAAAAAAGAATGGTATCAATCCAAAGGGTGACACCTCATTGTTGCATGGAGGACATCCATACAACATGTCTATCATGTATCTAGGAAACTTGGTGATTAACCACTAAGCAATAGCCACATTAATCTCTCCACTCTGCACTCTTAAACCGACCGAGACCTCCCACCCCTCTCCACTCTTCATTTCAAAATTTACTCACTAATCTCTTTTCCTCTCAAGAACACAAGAAAATTCTTCATCCTTCTCTTCAAAATTTTCGAGAATCGATTGTGTATCAAGGAGGTTCTTTCAATTTTCCACTAACTTGGTAAGCTATTATCACTCTCAAGATGTTTTGTTTCCATTTTTCACTAAGATCATTCCTTAACAACACCTTTTTCGTGTTGTGCTTCCTAGGATCATCCTAGTTTCGAAAAATCCCTTCCAAAGAACATCCTAGGCCGAAAATCTCCTTCTCTTTTCTCTTCAAAACCGATCAAGCCTCAAGGTGAGCTTCATACCCTCTTGTTTTCAAGTTTTACTATCTTTTGTGGGAGAATACAAGCTAGTTTTGTGTTTAATCTAAGTATTTATGCATGCATGTGTATATGTTTTCTTCAATTGTTGGGTGATATGTTATGAAACCGTGTCAAATACTCTTAAACTCGAAATATCTTCCAAGTTTTGGATATTTTAGTAAACAAGTTACTTAATGTAACTTTCTATGATGTTGGAAAAGATCAAAACATGATAAAAGTTACTAGAAAACAAAAGAAAGTGTACAAAGGGGCCATATTTGTCAAATAAGGATAAAATCGAGTTTTATGGGATACTCATGGTTTTATGGGCCAAAAGTGACATTTTTCATAAAAATGGACTTCTATTGAATATTCACGGTTTTATGGGCCAAAAGTGACATTTTTCATAAAAATGTACTTCTATTGAATATTCACGGTTTTATGGCCCAAAAGTGTCACTTTTCATTAAAATGGGCCTTATTTTATAACTCACGGTTTATGGGGCTAAAAATGTTACTTTTAACATAAATGGGCCATTTTTGTCATTTTCGGCTATATTGGGCCAAAAATGTAATTTTTAACATAAATGGGCCATTATTGTCATTTTCGGTTATATTGGGCCAAAAATGTCATATATAACATAATTGGGCCTTTACTGTCATTATCGGTTATACTGGGTCAAAAGAGTTATTCTTGATAAAAACAGGCCTTTTATGTCATTTTTGGAAATTTTGGGTAAAACGGTTATTTTGATGCAAATGTACCATTTACGATATTCCTTATTTAAATTGGGCTTTATGTGCCAATTTCATTTAAATTGGGCCTTTTGTGAGAAACCTTATGTTAATCGGGCCGTTAGTGAAAATTCTAATACATTTAAATTGGGCCTTTTGTGAGAAACCTTATGTTCCACGATAACATCAAATATTTTGACACTTTCGAACAAAAACAATTATATTTTTTTATAACCAATGGTTGTAGTCAAAATACACACCCGAAACATTATTTATAGCGTTAATTAATTGCATACTCTATTCGCGTAAATTTAGTTAAGGCTCTTGTGAGACACTCCTTCACTCGTACCTACCTAGTGTACATAGTAAGTCCTGTAGTTATATCTAGAGTCTCCTGGAGGGAGAGCGATAATTTATGTATAGATCTATACGGGGATGACACCCCACACCTGAGTTGTTCGCTACAGCTAGACATACCAGTCTAGGGTGACAAATGTCTTACCATAACCGACGCCTGAAGAACGTCATGACAGGCATATCAGTCATATCTAGCATGGTTATAGCAACTCACATAGAGAATAACAAACAAATAAATTTGCGGAATACATATACTATACTCATGATACAAAGTACGAACTATACAGTTACTATGTACGTTGAAACTTTCACCTCTCGGGTCTTAGGGGTAAGACCACACTTTTTCATTTTACAGAAAATATATGATTTTCTGGGAAACTCTCTTTATACATTATCAAACAAGATTACACATGCTCTAATACTAGATTTGCAACAAGACTCACAAACCAATTTTACAGAAAATATAGGATTTTATAGTGTTTACAAACTACTAGAAAAACATTTCATACAAACTTGCTTATGAACTCACCAACATTTTTATATGTTGACGCTTTTCAAAATGACTTGTATTCTCAAGAACATGTTAAAACAGGTTGGTCGAAAAGGAATGAAGATTTTTGCTGTATTTTTGTTTCTCACCATACTTGATGTTTTGGATGTATTTTTATAAACAAATACAATGATGTAAAACTATGATGGTTGGTATATTTTATGTATGGTTATCATGTTGTATTTGATTCATTTATATACACTGTGATGATATTACAAAATGAAGTCACCCGCCCCCGGACGTTTCCGCCGTCTTGTTCGGGGGTGTGATATGTTTGATCCAAGCATGTCAACAGAAAGTACCCTTACATCATATATATAAGATTGAAGAAGGTCATATTTTGGTGAAGCGATTATCATCAGGAGGCAATCATGTAGATCCTTCCAGGAAGGCTCTGAGCAGGGTTAAGCACAACCAATATGCTAGGAGGATTGGCTTGAGGGACGATGTTAATTTTAGTAGTTTGTTGATAGGTTGAAACTTTGTAACAAAATAAATGTAATTGATTTTGGTAATTGAATTATTGAGAATTATTTATGAGTATGGTTACTGCATTTTTTAATTTTTAGTATTGTGTTTCATTTTGCATGTTTTACTTACTGAATGATTTGATTATTCAAAATTCCTCAATCGCTCATACTTTTGGAAGTGAGTAGTGAATTAATATTGTCATGAATAGATTGTAGATTGTATGTGGAGATTACACATTGCAATGGGCTTTCTACAATATTCATGAGTGCTTAGAGAATGGTGATTTTGAGTATTGGATAAACCTATGCGTAATGATCACTTCATGGATTTAATCATGACTAACTCTAAGACAATAATATATTTTATTCTTCAAACAGAGATATAGAAAGTTGTAATTTACGAGTCAGCTGTGCATTGGTATTACAAAAACGCATCAGTAACATGATGTTATAAAATGTAGTGTCATGTATGATTTGGTGAGTAAATGATACAATGATACAGGCAATGTTTATTCGTTACTTTTTTACTAGTAGGAAAAAGCGACATCTTTAGGACCCTCTGTGTTTTGGTGTTGACATTAGAGTGTTGGGCCCAACCATGACTGAATTGACGTGTTCAATTAGTAGTCTAATGGCGTCACCATAAATCAGGAAATCAGCAAACATAAATTTGGAAAATGAGATTTGTTATAATCGATGTCTCGTTTCCAGATATCATGAAGAACGAAGGAATATTTGACCACTTATCTTGGGGCTAATTCCTTATTTGATCAGAGTTCGGCGGTTGCTTCGAAAAGCACACTTTGCTGTTTAATTTAGAAGTTGTACTCGCAATCATAGTTATAGACTCATCCAAGTGGAAGACTGTTGGATTAAGGTGTCTAATATCATAAGTAAATTGGTATATACTTGAATTGAAAGCAAAATCCTTGTTGGGTTTCTCTTAAAAATAGTAATTGTGTAGAATGACTTTTGGATAGAGAGGTTTATTTATTGAATTTTTATAAAATTAAAAAATAGCAAAAAGTGATTTTTTTAATATATTATGTGATTAATATATTAATTAGAAAGAGTATTGTTTTGATTAATAATTATTTAGAATTAAATTTAGGATTTATTGGATTAATTAAAAGTGTAAGGAATTAAGTTGTGATTCTTTAAATGTAGCAACCCAAAATAGTTGTGAAAATTTTCATTTAAAAGTCTATCAAATCACTCAATAATTGTTCAAAACCATCATTAAATCATAATATTCAAAATATCATAGTACACACTACTAGAAAAAAAGCCTTTTACGACGCGCAATGTGTGTCGTAAAATGATCAGACGATGCGCAAATGTGTGTTAAGGAAGGCCCTGTCATAACGAGAGACGACACGTGTAGACGACGCGCACTTACGACTCGCATTTATGACACACATTTACGACACGCATTTACGACGCGCAATGCGTATCAAGGAAGCCCCTGTCATAAAGGAAGACGACACACATTTGTGTGTCGTAACCTTACGACACATGTTTAGGACACGCATTGCGTATCATTAAAGCCCCTGTCATAAATGAAGATGACACGCATTTGCGTGTCATAAACTTCAGCAACCATTTACGATATACTTTTACGACGCGTCTTTACGATACTCATTTACGCATAATACAAAAATATGGAAGCAAATATATACCAAACAATCATTTCATCCATAACATAGTGTCAAAAAATTGTAATACATTGGTATTAAGGGGATCCGATTGTACATTGTTATTAAGAGGTTTTCCCTAACTATATAACCTAATACTACATTGCTATTAAGGAACATCTTCTTGTTTCTACTTCTTATTGTTATGCTTCTGTTTCCACATGATACCTGTTTTCATCATCAACACATTAGTATTCAGAAAGGCTTCAAGCATCATCAATCTATGTTATAAAATATTAAAATTTAATACACATGTAGTAACATACATTTTTCCAAGAATCCAAGCTTCAATACAAGCCCATACCTGTATAAAATATTAAAATTTAATACACATGTAGATTATAAAAGTTAATATGAAATAATGCTACTTTCCCCCAAAAAAAAGCAACAATTTCTATTCTATTATATTATACTGCTTTTAGTTAACTTAATATAAACAAAAAAGAATCAAATACAAAATATGAAAGTAAAAGTGAACAAGGAGACATACTTGCTTTTAATAAAATAGGAAAAGAATGTGGTTGTGTTTGTGTAATCTTATATCTATCTCTGTATCTATAAAACTAGCTTCTGCAGCTACTGCTCTCTATTGCTGATTTTGAACGTTTAGAACCCCGACCATGAACCCTACAAAGTTAACAAAAGTAAATACATAATTCATAAAAATAAAGATATACATAATAAAAAATAATATTGAAGATATGAAATACCTCACTCCTAGCAATAGCTCTCTCCATTGCTACACGTAGAGCCTTTGTTTCCTGATCAGAATATAATAACATTCAGAGTTTCAGACCCCAACAATAAGAGATGAAGAAAATAACAAAGCAAATTGTTACAAATATTACCTGAAGAGGCCATCCATCAAACACAAACACATCCAAAGAATAGCCATCGGTTGTTGAAAACACATGTGCTTCACGTATGTTGAGTCCTATGTCATAAAGCAAAGTTGAAAGCTTTCAGCAATGCAAAAAATACAAATGTCTAAAATACGCTCCCTTTAATTAGTCGAATTTTTTATTAATATTTTGTGGAATATTTTGACAGGGAATATATGATTGTTGCTGCCCCATGATGTCAGCATGGGATCTGCATAAAGGTTGGACGGAAGCCGAATTTAAGGTATAAAAAATATTATGTTTATATTTTAAAAAATTTATAGATAATTAAATAGATAGTTTTTGCATAAGAATCAATCAATTGGATAATTGAACAAATGGCATGGAACAAAAAGTGAAAAAGAAATTCAATGAATGATTGAGGAAGTAGATCTTACATACAACATAAAAACCACCAACCACCATGGAATTGATGCAACTTCAAGCAATTTTCTTGAAACAACCCCTTGGAAGATGTGAGGTGTGAAAATTCGGTTCTTTAGCAATAGTCACAGACACATTTCCTTGTGATGTGGACCTTGGAGCAAAAGTTTCTCTAGTTTTGTTCACTGCCACCTGCCACCTCATCACCGGTTAATTTACTAGATTTCTCCAATATTACACCCAATTGCTGACCTGGCCTCCTTATCTTCTTGCTTGGTGAAGCAACCCTGTATATATAGTTATCCAGTCAGAAAAGATTTTAGTGTTTTCAAAAAAAGAAATAAAATAGTTACCCTTGAGGTTGTGGATGGATAGAAGGTGATATTGTCATTAAACTGGCTTTGGGTCTTTGCTGTGTTGTATTAGGAACTGGTTTTGATCCCACTTGCATCCTTTTTATAACGACTTATATCTTTTGTAACCTCTTTCTCATGAGCAGGAAGATTAGGCTTTCTCTCTATTATGGCTTCTTTAATAATCCATCTTTCCTAAAAGAAACCAATATCACATCATAAATGATTAAAGAATAATCATTTATAAAGTGAAGTAGAACTGAAATTGCAAAAACAAATGCTTTCGCTTCTTAGCCTAAAAGGCTTGGCATTAGTAGGTTGTGGTTAAACTATAAAATAGGGACCATATCAAATCGTTGTCAGGACCAGGAACCAACACATTAATTTCACTAGACATGGCAGTTGTTATAGAAGCCTCTAAATAACCCTTGCTCAAGTACAGCTGGCAACCTACTATGTTCTCCACTGAAATGGGTAAAAAACTATCAGTGAAATAAGAGAAGATCATATTCATACCTGTTTATAACCAGGGAGCACCTATGAAACATCATTGTGTAGCTCCTCGCTTCTAATTTCCTGCAAGTGTAAATCAAAATAATAAGCTAAATAGTAAATATGCATCAAGCCAAGGGCAAAAGGTGGAATTTTTAATACCTGACTTAGGAGCTTTGGTATGTCTAGTGTTGAAAATGTGATCTCATGCATAGGCCTGCACTATCCCAGTTTAAAAGGTACATTTAGTTAGAAGATTGTGTACAAAAGCTAATAAGTAATAATCAGTTGGAAAATTGAAAAGTCAGTTAATTAAATCACTTTGGGAAAAAAATCATCTTGAATAGAAGAATACAAGCCAACAAGAAGATAAAGGTGAAATGACTTTTTTTTGGAATGGGATGTCATAGGGAAGGACATATGAGTAAATCTAAACCATTTTTAACTATAAATTGTAAGTTAAAATGTATTACCTAGAAAATACTGAAGTTGAATTTACATCATTGTCTGCATAACTGTCCTGATGTCTAGTGGCTTTAAGTGTAAGCCCTTTAACGTTCGGTGTTGATCCAAAAGATGGGGGGTGCACTCTAAGGAATATATTGAAGAGGTAGAAAAGAAAATTAAATTAGAAAATAAAGATAATTGACATTTATCTTTTTTGAAATCAAACAACATTCAAACTATCAGCATGTAACAAGAGTCACGAATATAAAGATGATAATCAAGCATGGAAAGAATAAGTAGAAAATAACACATATAATTGTTTTATGTCAATACTCATTTCTATTGCTGTAAGGTGAAGGACTCTGAGCATCTTCTTTCATCGAGGGTTCCATATTGTCTAAATCAGGTGTCTTCCCATCTAAGGCAGGATGAACCTATATAAGATATTCCTTGCATAAGAGAGAAGTGACATCAAAAGATAATCAAGAAAGCAACCTGCATATTTTCAAGAAAGGGTCGGATAATCTTTATGTGTTCCTTCAACACATTCATAGCCACAGAGAATCAAAGGACATTAATTACTAGCAGATGTCATTCTCAGAAGTCAGAACTCTAGGCAACCGAAGGCCAAACCTCAACTAAAACACCAACAAAACACCACATGTTCAAGACTACAAAACAAATTTATCTTCCAAGAATCCAAGCCAAAGGGCAAAAAAAACCCAACTGTAGGTGAAACTTCAACTATTCAAGGGAAATGGCATAATCGTCCTTGTCTTTGGCTGATCGGCTCTCCCTACATAAAATAAAAATCAAATATTCAGAATACATAATAAAAGGCAAAGATATTGTAGATGAATGATGATAGGAGATGGAGATTCAATTCTCTGATTATTCATTACATAGAAAACAAAACACAAACTAAATGGTTTTTCTTTTTTGTTACCGTTGTTTTGCAATAAAATGGCCAATCGATGCCTATGTACTTCGATATTTGCATGAAGAATGTAGTTAAACACCCAATCGATGCTACGCAACAAAATCTCCTAAGAGATTCGTCTCGTCGTCTTCTCTATTAGGCCCCGATAATGTTGCCTTCCTCTTTCTCATTTTTGGTTTACTGCCTTTAAGCTAATTAGATACGAAATTGAGGGCTTTGAGCATAGTGGGCTGAAAATATCACATATAGCTACCGGACCAGACCAGACTTACATTATGCCACATCAGGAATGATGCCATCAACCATTGCCCAACCTGCCCATGCCCTGGGTCGGGCTTGGTAGTCATAGTAGATGGAGTAGGGTTGACAGGAGGTGGATCTAGGACTTAAAACCCCAATCGCCAATATCGTGAGTGTAAGAAGTCGCAGTCGTCGACATAGGCGTGTGTGAGCGTAAGGAGTCGCCGACACTGCAAGGATGAAACTTGATTAATTTTGTGGAGGTCTCCCATAAAAGGCCTAGCTGGTTGATGAAGGCGTTGATTGTTGATGATGAAGGGCCGGTAGGGTTTCATCGAGAGTGAGTTGTTCGATCGAGTGTGGTGTACCAGGTGGGGAGGATAAGATAGCTTCGAAGATGGTCACAAATCTGGAGCAAGAAGAAGGAAAGGGTAAGAAGAATCGTTGCGAAGACGGGGCTTGGCTTGTGGTCTAGGGTTATAGAGAGGAGGAGGGAGAGAATGGCTCTCTATGCAATTTTATGAGAGATAAGGGAGATTACTTCAAAATTTTAGAATTTTCTAATTTTAGAGGATCCCTCTTTAAAAACGCATGTTTAAATGAAAAAATATAAAGTGACATTTGTAGACGACACCCATTTAATTTAGGTTCCCTCCGCGTTTGTAATTTTTTTTGCGGGACAATAATTTTAGGGCACGCACATATGCGTGTCCTCTATCCTTCAAAATTTGGAAGGCTGACATTATTTTTAAGGACACACAAAAATGCGTATCGTAAATCAGCGAGTGTCATTGTTCGCGCGTCATTAAAGGGTATTTTTCTTGTAGTGACAATTATTTCAAATGCGGAAATAATGAAGGGATGATGTTGTTGATGGGTTTTGAGCATTCTAACACTTCCTAAGTGTACATGCAACCCTAATAACCTTTAATCTATCTATGTTTTGTTCTCTATACATGCAAATTTCTTTTCAGGTTATTTCCTAACTAGCATGGCATGGGGATTACATATAACATAAAACTAGTAGAAATACATACGTTGTTGTTGCTTGGATTCCTTCAAGACTTTGTGAGCCTAGCACCCCAAATGTTGTGCCTCAAATGCGTCACACAACACCACAAGACTTGGAATAACTTGAGAGAATACTTCTTACACTTGAAAATCGGTTATGCCCTCACTAGATAAACTAGGTCACGATTTTGCTAGCCATAGGGTTCTTTTATAGTGTTGTCACATTAGGGTTTACACATGAATGCCCTTAATTGTCATGACTCTTGATTCTCATGACCCATGGGTTTGTAACTCCCATGGACTATCCATGGAGCTCCATATGGTTATAACCAAACCCATAAACCTGGATCATTAATCCACCATAAAAGAATTGAGGATGTCATAATCAACCCTATATATTAATTAGTCTCACTTTGATCACTAGATTAATACTAGATTAATACTTGATCAATACTAATTAAATAATACTATTATTAATATATTAGAACTTATAATATATTAATAATCATAAGTGCCTTATTCTCTCATTTAGTCTATCCAAGTATTGCAATGCCATGCAACCCAAATGGACCATGCCGGGTCGGGTCAAGTTCATACCAAATAAAGTTATGGACTTAGACACTATATCCAACAGTCTCCCACTTGGATAAGTCTAATAACTATATTTGCAAATATGACTTCAAAATCCGACTAGCAATCGTAGCTCTTTCAAAGTCTCTCGAACTGATGATGATGATACGCCATTTAAGATAAGTGATCATAATCCGCTGTTCTCATGATATCAGCCGGACAAACACATGGACATGGTCTTACTATTGTCCAGCATTTGTTTCTCGATCTCTGATTTGTTTCGACATAAAACTAAATTGAACACATCAATTACGTTCTGACCGGGCCCGGTACATAAGTCAAAACCAAATCATCGAGGGGCCCAGATATCGCTTCTATTTCTAGAAGGAACAGATAAACTTCGACTGATATGCTTGTACTAACTACTTGTTGAATTATTCACAAAGGCACGTTTTATGACATCGAGTTACCAATGCGTTTTCGTGTAATCAATGAATAACCAACTCATAGTCAACAACTCATATCTCTAGGTTTGAAGATTTATATGATATTACCGTTTCACGATCACTCGAGATAAATTCCATGAAGTGATGCAAGTGAGCGTGGGTTGGATCCAATACTCAGACCTTATGAGTACTCAGAATGTTGTAGCAACCATTGCATTGTCCAACACTTTTAGACAAATCATACAAGCCAAATTCATGACAGTCTAAATCAATACTTACTTCCAAAGTTTGACTGACTGTGGATGGTTTGAATAATAACATAATTATTCTGGAAGTAAAAACATGCAAAATTGAAACATAGTAAACAATCAACACAAGATAGTAACACCTTACTCATAAATAAATAACAACTTTTATTTATCATCAAATGTTAATTACATTTTACAAGTTTCAGGAATCTAATTATTGAAACTAATATCATCCTTCAGCCCAATGCGCCTCGCATGCTTGTAAATGCTTAACCCTGCTCAGTCCCTTCGTGAGGGGATCTGTGGGTTCTCATCGATGATACCCTCTTAGCCACGAGGAGTCCTTCTATTCGATGTCTGATGAAATGGTATTTTCTGTCAATGTGCCTAGATCTCCCGTGATCTCTTGGTTCCTTAGCCAAAGCAACCGCACTTCGCTGTCACAGAAAATTTCCATTGGCTCCTTTATAGCTGGTACAACTCCAAGGTCTCCGATGAAGTCTTTAGCCATATCGGCCTCCTTAGCTGCTTCACTTGCTGCTATGTACTCTGATTCACAAGTAGAATCAGCTACTGTCTCCTGCTTGGAACTTTTCCAAGTAATTGCCCCTCAATTTATGATAAAGACCCAGCCTGACTGAGAGCGGAAATTATCCCTATCAGTCTGGAACTAGCATCGCTATATCCTTCCACTCTCAAGTCCATCACTGCCTCCGAGGGTAAGGACCCAATCCTTAGTCCTCCGCAGATACTTGAGAATTTTCTTTACCGCTGTCCAGTGTGCCTTGCCAGGGTTCCCTTGATATCTACTGACCATGCTCAAAGCAAAGGCCACATCAGGGCGAGTACAAGTCATAGCATACATGATGAGCCCACAGCGGAAGCATATGGTATATGACTCATC